ATGATACAATTTCTACTATTAATTTAAATTTTCTGCTATTAATGATTAATAGCAGAAATAGAAAAAAGTATTATATGATATAAATTAATAGTTTATGTAATTTGTACTACTGGCTCAAAAGCCTTTTAAGCCAAAATTGAGCCAGCCTCAAATTTGATAAGCCTAATTAAGCCAGCTTGATTTGGAACACTGTTCACTACTATTGCAACAAAACAAATAAAACATTACATACTATTAACCCAGATTAGTTTAAAAATCAAACCAAATAATTAAACTCAATTATCTCAAAATGAGATATATAGAACCTCTACAGCAAAAAGAGAGGATGAGCTAAAAAATTTTTTTTAAAAAAAATTCAATATCTTGAAGAATCAGACTAATTAAAATAAAATTATTATAAAACAAATTTTCAAATTTTTTGTCTATTCTCTTCTTTTGCTATAGGGTCCCATATATCAAAATAGTTCCTTTTAATATAAAACACCTCATATAATTGTAGTATTATTGTCCTTAGTATTATTTTTGTTATCTCTCTTTGAATTTGACAATTTTTGATTAGTATTTATATTATAAATTCTATCTTTATGTGTCTTATCTATGATTTCTTCACTAAATCAAAAATAATATCAATTTATTATAAAAGAAAGATACAAGATTAAAGTCTTACAAAGCAATTTATAATGTTAAATTTTCAAAAAATATTGAAAATAGATTCAAAATTCAATAGATTATTTGGTTAAACCAAGTTTTTTTATTACTATCTGTTTGCAAACTACTATAGTAATAATAAAATAGAAAGTATTGACAAACTTTTCTTGTTTGTAACATCTATGGCCATGTGTCTTTATCAAGTAGTTTTTTTACTTTTAACAATGTATTTTTAATATCTTCACTAAGCAAACAATAAAGATATTTTTTAATATCTTTAGAAAAATCAACCTCAACAGCAGTGTTTTTGGCTATTATCTCAAACTGGTTCTTCATATTTGTTTCTGATAATTATCAAAATGGCTTGTATAAATAATATATATTTCAATTTCTAATATTATTAAAAAGTTTATTGATCTTGTTTTTCTTTACAATATTTTTTTAAATTACAATCTATAT